TTTATTTTGCTTTTCTTTTTTCTTCTTTCATCTATCTATCTATCTATCTTTCTGTCTTCTATCTTCTTTTTTCTTCTTTCACTGTAAGCCGCCCGGAGTCCTCCGGGATTGGGCGGCCTATAAATTTAATAAATGAAATGAAATGACAGGTTTTATGTGCTCACCTGCTGCCTCTGTGGCCCGGTTCACGGTACTGGTCTGTGTCCCAAGGGTTGGGGACCTCTACTCTAGATTAAACTGGGACCTATTCTTTATACTTTTTGCATAGTATTTCAGAATCAATCGTCTTTCCCCAATAGAATCTAACTCCTTGCTGATCTTACAAATGAGCAGCCTATCTCATAATCTAGGTATGATGAAGGTTTAGTCCAGTATTTGAAGATTTCTCTCAGATACAGAGATCACAATCAGAACTTTTTGTCGTTGAGAGTTGACAAGGGTTTCTGCATCAATTGATAAGTGGCATTTCTTGAATTTTTCAGGGTTCATTACTCAAAGGCACTAGATCTGCTGATAAAAATACACAGCTGTAATACCATCCCAGATACAAAAGTAGGAGCGCTGGAGGCTATTCTAGGAGGCACAACTGTTGGCAGCCAAACAAGGGCCTGGAAAGCAAAATCTCATTTTGATAAAACACGGATTATCGGATTCATCCGTTTGGAATTTTACCATCCACATCGTAGACCTGAAAGAGGAACCGGAGCTTGTCGGTTTCACTCCCATGGATCAGCAGTTTTAAGGTGTTCAGGAGCTCATCCAGGCTGATGGTTCCACTTTCATCGGAATCAAACAAAGCGAAGAACCGGTCACCAAAAAAAGACTGTGAGAGAGGAAGTTGGAGAAGGTTTGAGAAGTTAGAGGTGAGGCTCCAGAAGTTTCTATTGTCTTGAGGCTTTGATTTAGAAATAAGTGATCCAATCTCTGAAACACTAAATGACAGGGGTTATGTTCATTATTGACCATGATAAATACAACTGTATAAACCTGCCTTGAGATTTGTTTGTGGAGATTCTCAGTCATCCAGGTCACAGTTATCTCAAAGGTGCCTTTTTTTTCCTCCTTCAAAAGGCAACTGGACTGTTTTTTTCCTTGTGGAAGAAGAAGAAAATGTTTCGCTTCTCATCCAAGAAGCTTCATCAGTTCTGGGAAGGATGTAAGGATAGGTACTGACAGTTGAGACTGGATGGTGGTGGTGGTGGGGAATGGAAGAATCGATTCCTTTGACATTGCTTGTTTTCTTGCAGACGTTTCATTACCCAAACTGGGTAACACCATCAGGAGCACTGTTTGCTGTCAGTTTTTATATTCTAGTGGCTTGTGTTGGTGGGGGCGGTCTTAGAGATTCTTGGATTGAGCTGTTTGATGTTTGCTTCTTTCTTCCTTACATTATGTGTTGTAGATGACTCCTGTTTTTTTCTTCTGGAGTTGTTGGGTCTTTTGGTCTGCTTAGGATGTTTTGAAGGGTTTTAATTAAGCCAACTAACTTTAGTTAAACCAACTAGTGGGCTACTTCTGGGTGGTTGAAGTAGCCTGCTGGTGGTTTCTGAGATATTCTGAAATATTCTCAATGTATGGTAGTATAATTCTTTTTAGGATTTGGGTTGGTTGTGCTATATACAGTCCATACATCAAGAATATCTCACAATATCTCAGAAACCACCAATAGTACTTAGACTTACATACTGTTTTACAGTGCTTTACAGCCCTCTCTAAGAGGTTTACAGAACCAGCTTATTGTCCCCAACAATCTGAGTCCTTGTTTTACTGACCTTGGAAGGATGGAAAGCTGAGTCAACCTTGAGCCTGGTGAGATTTGAACTGCCAAATTGCAGGCAGCTAGCAGGCAGCAGAAGTAGCCTGCAGTACTGCATTCTAACCACTGCTCATCAGACTACTACAACCACATGGAATCAGCATAGCACACGAGCCAACTAAAGCTACTACAATGTAAGAATTGCAACAACTACTGTGTAGGACAAACAGGCAGAAGACTGGCAGAATGCATTCACGAATACCAACTAACAGTCAGAAGACATGAAAAATCTTTAATTTCACAACATATAGATAGATTTAATCATAGTCTCAATTGGGAAAATGTGACCATCCTAGACCAAACCAAGTCCCCAAACACCAGGGAATTTCTAGAAGTCTGGCATGCTGACAAATCAGCCATCAATAGACGCATAGATATTAACAACATCTATTGACTATGCAAAAGAGACAATCAGCCGCCCCAAAAAGGAACAGAAAGACCCAAGCATCTCTCTATCAGCAGTCAGCACCCAGATCAGCATAGATTAACTCCAAGGTTAACATTTGACCAAAAATCAAATAAATAATACCTCAGTCAAGAAACTGCCAAATACCCAACAGCAAACAGCCCAGTCAGAGAATATCTAAGACCATCCCACCAGAGCTGACATTGGATAGGCTATAAAACTGACAGCAAATAGCTCTCCTTACTAGCACGGAAGGTGCTACCTAGTTTGCTTAATGAAACGTCTGCAAAAAAACAACCAAGCTCAGAGAGCAGCAGGAGGGGCGCTTCATGTCGACCTGGAGCCAAAAATAGTCTCCTTTATTAGAATTGATTGTGGGAGGGGGGTAATCAAAGGATGATATTTCTTTGCAGTCATCTGATCATTTGCTCTGAGAGCTTTTGAGGCCATTTGAGGGTTTACCTGTGCCCTCAATGTCACCTGAATCAGGGTGCAATTGGTTGTGGGATCTTCTTGGAACAGCTGCAAGGACCGTGTTGTAAACTGGAGATAGGTGGTATCTATCCCTCCCCCTCTGTTGAGGGAGGGGTGTCCAATTCCAACATAGATGGATTCCTTCCAATCCCCCTCCCCGCCATCAGAACTGGTGAAGTTTCTTTGATGAGAAGTGAAATGTTTTCTTCTTCTCCCGCAAGGAAAAAACAGTCCAATTGCATTTTGAAGAAAAAATTGCACCTTTAAGGTGCTTTTTTGAGGCTTGTAGTATATGTTCCAGACAGATTAACAACTATAGCTCTCTAGTCTAAGAATGCAAACAAATGAGAAAGGCAGATGTATTAGTCAAGCATCTATATACGGATAAAACTCTTGTCTCTGGAAGTGGCTGAAACAGGGCACATGATAGGCCAAAAGATTTTCAACAAATAGGCTAAGTCACAAAATGCACCCAAAATCTAGGACTCATGACTTCCGTGGAATTGAAATTTCATAAAACTTTTTATGACAAAAATTGTCATAAAGGATTTTATGACATAATACAAAATATCAAAAAATAATTCCTGTGGCTCACTGCTAATGTTTAACATATATTATGTATATAACATATATTAGGCTTCCTTCAAGGCAGATGCATCTCTGAATACCTCCCAGAATTTTTAAGAATTCTTTCAGTCTCGTAGAAGTTCTCCCTTTGTTGAAGGCGTTGAGGAATAGTGAGGAAACCTCCCTGAAATGGTGAGCCCAGCAGTCACAGGTTGCCTAGTATTAAATTAGAGACTCACAGAAAAAGCTTGAGTAGAGTCCAAATCAAGATGAAAAAACCTGCCTCATGTTTTAAACCCCTCCTATTCCGTGTGTTCCTCAACTCTCTTGACTTTCCATCTGAGTGGTCCTTCGTTCCCTACTCTAAGGCTTCTTGGACTTCCGCTAAGATCAATGGTAAATTGATGGAGACTCTGCAAAATGCTTGTATTTTCTGTGAATTATAGATGGGCACTTCCCCACATTTTTATGTTTTTGGTTAATTGTTTTAATTATTTCAATATTTTAATATAAGTGTCAAAGTTGTTTTAACTTGTGAGCTGTTCAAAATCACATAAGTGAGATAGGCAGCTATAGAAATTGGAATAAATAAATAAATGTTTTAAAAAATCTGTTGCCTCCCCCCCCCCCCTTCGATAGGTCTCTTGACTTTAAGTAGCGTATCAAATGCATGGATCAATTCTTCAATTCTATCAAGGAAGAGAGGAAATAAAATATTGCTGTACGTTTTGCTTGCAACAGTGGTCATTCCGAGCTGGGGCACATCTCTGTCACCCACACAGCTCAGTCAGACACAACTTGCCTCCTTCACTTTAAGTGCTGTTTTGAATTGTTCCAAGTTGATTTCTTTATTGTCACCAGCAATATTCTCAAACTGCTTGGCTACCCACATGAGCCACTTTGTGTTGTCTTCCAGGTTCATGGTTGTTAGTCCTACAAGATAGATAACAAAATAACAGAGTTGAAAGGGACCTTGGAGATTTTCTAATCTAGTCCAATCCCCTAAAGAGTTTTGGGAAGCAGGAGACCCTAAACCAACCTCTTTCTTGAAATCTTCCAGAGCTGAACCAACCACAACTTCTGAAGGTAAGCCATTCCACTAATTAATTGTTCTTACTTCAGGACATTTATCTTTACTTCTAGGTTGAATTTCTCTTTCATAAGTTTCTATCCATCACTTCTTGTCCTGTCCTCAAATGATTTGGAGATTAGATTGACCGCCTCCTTTCTGTGCTACCCCCTGAAATAGAAGACTGCTGATATGTTACCTAGTCCTTCTCTTTGCTAGACCAGACCAGTTCCTGCAATCATTCATATGTATCAGCCTCCAGACTCCTAATTGTTTTTGCTGCTCTTCTCTGCAATCTTTCTAGTCTCAACATCTTTTTTGTACCCTGGTGACCAGAACTGGATGCAGTATTCCAAGTGTGGTCTTATCAAAGCAGTATGTAGGGGTATTAATAGTTCTCATGATATTGATGGTATCCCTCTGTTGATGGAGCCCAGGATTCAACTGCCTTTTTTGGCAGCTATAGCATACAGCACACTGCTGGCTCAGTGGTTGTCTACTAGGACTTCTAGATTGTTTTCACAGCTCTTGCTGTTGAGCCACCTTTATTACTCTTGTGCATTTGGTTTTCTTACCCAAGTTTAAAATCTTACTTTTCTCACCACTGAATTACGTTTTGTTGGCTAGGTTCCAGCGTTCAAATCAGTCAAGATCTTTCTGGTTCTTGAGCTTCTCTTCTAAAGTGTTGTCTATTCCCCCCAGCTTGGTGTCATCTGAAAATGTGATGGGTTTCCCTTTTATCTCATCTAAATTGTTTATACAGTAAAGATGTTGAAGAGTACTGGGCCTAAGAAGAAGCATGGGGTACCCCACTTCAGTAGATGTGCTATAGTTCTGTTGAGGACCACACATCAAGTGCAGTTTGTCAGTCAGTTATGAATCCATTTGCTGGTGATGCGGTCCATCCCACATCTTATCAAGAAGTACAGGCTGTAGTCTACTTTGTCAAATGCCTTATCAAAGTCCAAGTATATTACACAGGCAACATTTCAGGTCAACTAGTCACTCTTATTCTGCAATAAGAATTTAATTTTTGGAAATTGAGGTCCATACATTTTCAAGTGGCTAAGGTTGAGAAACTGCACTGTACTGCAAATGAATAAAAATATGAATATAAAGGAGATAGAAAATTCAATTGGGACTAAGCTTCCAGGCAAGAACATCAGAAGATGCTGGATTCTGATGAAAACTCAAGTGGTTGCTTAGTGCAGAGGAGCCATTCTGAGGCTCATCAAGAGACCATGATGCTCACATCTGCTTTTCATTTTTACTGGAACCAGATGAGGCCAGCTCCAGCTTCACAAGAAGGCTGATTAGGAACTGACTAGGAGTGACAAATTTTAGGAGACACCGAAATTGAAAAGAGTTCAGAAAAACACAGAAAAAAGAAAAAAGCAGTAATGGTGCACTGTCTGAGCCAGCATACCCATTCAAGAGTTTATGATGGCACAGTGGTTAGAATGCAGTACTGGAGGTGACTGCTGGCTGCCAGCAGTTCGATTCTCACCAGATCAAGGTTGACTCAGCCTTCCATCCTTCCGAGGTCAGTAAAGTGAGGACCCAGTTTGTTGGGAGCAAGATGCTGACTCTGTAAACCACTTAGAGAGGGCTGTGAAGCACTATATATGGTCTAAGTGCCACATATAATTTATACTTTAAATAGGACAAGGTCCAAGAAAAGAAAAAGCAATGTTTGAGGCTGAAAATTATGTGTAAAAAACTTGAAGGAAAAAAGAAACAAGAAGCCATCTTTTTGAAATTCCTAACCGAACTGGAAGATGGGCCAAAGTTGTAGGGTGCCAAAATATGACTTTGACTCAGGTGCCAAAATGGCTAGCTGGCCCTGGACAAAGCTGAGGGTCAGTCATTAGAAACTTAGTCCAGACCAAATTAGAGGCACGAGCTGAATGGGTTATAAACTGGCTGCATCCTTGCGCCTTGGATGCTGAATGTATTAAGGGCCCATTTCCTGGTTTTATTGTTAACTGGCCTAGTATCTTAGCTGGTTCATATATTTATTTTGGAAATGTTTTAAATTTCTGTTTTAATATGTTTTTATTGATTTAATTGTAGTAAGTTTTTTTTAATTATAAGCCATCCAGACTCATTTATTGGGATGAGCAAGTATAGAAATTGGATGAACAAACACACCCCTACGTGGTCCGAATAGCAGTCTGCCTTGTCATGAGAATGTAGGTAGCTGCTGTCCTTTGTTCTCTCTGGATTACCAACCAAGGGATTCCTGCAGTCTGTTCCATATTGGGCTTCCTTTGGCAAAAATCTGCAAACCTCAGGAAGGGCTTCAAATGTTTAAGGCTCTCCTTGGGTCGCCTTGTTGGCATCTCTTCTCTTTATGGATACTGCGGAATTTTCAGATCCTTCAATACCTGAAAGTTTCCTCTTCTCATAACAGGCATTCTGGATCCTGAGATTGTCTTTCAAAGCTGTTAGATTTATTTAATCCATTGATTTAATGCCCACTCATCAGGCAGTGCTTGGTGGCTTATGAGAGCGTTAAAACATTAACATTGGAAGAAAAGAAAAAAAGAAAATCATAGCAATAAAATGACCACATCCAGGGAAATGTAGGTCTCAGATTTCTTAAATCTAACTCTTGTTTTCTCCATGTGTCTTCCACACCCCACTTAAATTTGAGCTGCTTTGACTACTACTGACTAGATAGGCTAACTGACAGTAGCAGCTTTATGGCTCTGGGCCATTTCATTGAATCACCTTCTAAGATCTTTTGTTTGCTCCCTTTGGTGCGTTGTAAGAACATAGATGAAATGTGTGTAGGTGGCAGATGAAACTGCCAAAGAGGGTTGAGCTTCATCATTCTTTTCTAGGGATGTAAAGTCAGGGTGGCAGCTGTGACCACACAACTGAACCCTTACCTCTGTATGGGACTTTGATCACAAGATTGCCAACCCTCTTGGTATTTTCCACTTCTCCCCCAGGACATTCCTACTTGTGATTCTCCAGGTGTTAATATTCTATAAACTAATGGTTATTCTACACACACACAGACCTTCATCAAGAGAAAAACCGAGGATGCAGAGTCTCAGATGACACAGACAATACCAATAAGTTAACATTGCATCAACTCTACAGGACAGATCCTGTGAGAACTTTCAGGACTTTCCATTTGGGTCTTATGGATTGCAACAACTGTAAGAAATTACTATAGTACATGATTCATGGGAAGCGTCTGTTCAATCCCATGATTTGATTGGCAAATTTTGGAAATGTTAACCATAATGGAGTGCAGAGAGCAAGAGAGCCCAGGATTGTAGGGTTGGAGCTGGAATGACCAAAGGGAGAATAAAGAAGAATGACAATGTCTCTTGGTCTTGACACCTTATCACTTTTGGCTCACAGTCCGCTTGGAAACCACAGCAGAAGCATAGACTACAGGGATCACCCCAATGGAAATCACAAATCACTCACAAATGTGAATTTAATGAGGTGTTTTATTTCAACAAATAATGGTAAGAGTGACTAAAATCTTCATAGCATTTGTCGCCCCAGCTGAGAATCTTATGGACAGTTTGCATTCCACACTGTAATTGTCAGGAGATTAGAGAAAGCATTTTTCTTTGTTGTCATTGTTGATTTCAATCAATTTGGTTAACATTTTATCTCTTGGTACTTGCTGTGTAATTTACAGCTAAATAATGTTATTCTTATTTATATAGTTTCATCTTATTGCCATTTTTACATCATTATTTTGAGACTATATATTAGATTCTGTCTGTGAGCAGGGACTATTCTAACTGCCACATTCCCTCCATGAATTCATTCCTAATGCTGAGGAGATTGTGTACTGCTTAAATTAGTACAACTATAGAGCCATAATATCCATATTTTCTCTCCCTCAGAAAAGGAGCACAAGAATTCCGCTTCCCTTTCTGGACAAATTCTACTTGTAGAACAACAAACTCAAAACAAAACTGCTACTGTACTTCAAAATTATGAACAAGGGACTGCAACAGACATGTGAAAAACAGGGGAGTTCCCACTTCAATTTGTGATCTGCTGGGCATTTTGAAAACTCTAACCCAGCCCAGAAGACACCAGGTCCAGATTGGGTACTGTGGGATGACCAAATGGGAAGTCACTGCACAGAGCTCAGGTTCAAAGCATTCCATGCTGAAAGCTGCAGCAACTTTGAGAATGAGACATTTTGTGCAGTGAAAAATATTACAAAGATGGTCATTTTGTACATGCAAAATCAATTGCTTTGCCTCTATGTAGCTTGGAAGAAAGCCAGAGTTTTCAAAGAAAGATGATACTGATTTTTTTCTTAAAAAACTCAATTATTTAAGCACTTTGATCATTTACGTCATGTGAAAATCTTCTCACAAAGTCAAGTAATAACATAATCTTTCACAAAATATGCTCCATTTTCCTTCTCATGGAAAATGCCCAAATAATAGGCGGTTTTGAACTTTGCTCAAATCACAGAATTGGCAGAATTAATTGAAACTTCCTACCCAAAGGCTGCAGCTTTCTCTCACTCATCTCAGCTGAATCCATGAGACTCAAATCACATTTATTCTGAAGAAAAAGACTTAGAATAAACGAGTCTGGATAATTCAGACACAAAATGCAAAATGCATTGAAAAAGGTAGGAAAGGATTACCTGAAATTCCTGTGCCAGAGGCTTCTTTGTCTAGCTTCTTGAAACCTTCCCAAAATAATTTATAAAACTTCTTTTAGACACATATAAGAAGACATGAAGTATGCTGAACTAAATATCGCCGTGTAGCATTCAGTACCTGCTCTGCAGTAGTCAGCCACACTCCCCTGTTCAAGAGAGGCTTGCTTAAATTCATGCTACACTCCTGTAACAGGTGCTGCTGACTAGCTAAATGCAAAAGCCACTCAGGGGAGGCCAAAACATAATTAATTCAGATAATACTTTTCAATAAAAAAACAAAGCTTCTTTGTTCAATTGATTTGTTCTTCATTGAACTGAGTAACACGGCAAAAGGACCAAAAATAATTGGTGTTCTACATGAGCATAAATCTTTTTAACATTTCAAATAAAGTTTCCATAGAATCTCTTTCCCTGGGATTACATTATTCATCTTGAAGTTTAGTGTCTTAAAAGATGCATATCACTTTACTGCTATCTGTTTAGGCTTAATGCAGGGGTGTCAAACTCAATTTCATTGAGGGCTGCATCAGGGTTACGTTTGACCTCGGAGGGGCAGGGCGAGGAGGGCATGGACAGCGTGGGCGTGGCTAGCTCGACGTCACTTGTGTCAGGGGCACCTGTGGTGCCCCAAGCAATCTGCCAGCGAAAACGAGCTTCTCAGTTCTGTTTTTGGCTGTGCCAGCCTCCTGAAACCCTCTGCCAGCGAAAACAGAGGTCACATGCGGCCCTCCCAAGCTCTATTTTTGCTAGCAGAGGTACCGTGGGCCAGTCCTTCACTGTTTTCAGGGTGGCCCTGGGGGTCAGATCTAAACACCCCATGGGCCGAATCCAGCCCGAGCCTTGAGTTCGACATCCCTGGTTTAACACATATCCAATGTACAAGTTTTTTTATCCTATTAAATATGGATTAATGAGGCTATCAGCAAGATAGCTGTCCACAAATAGTCTTCTGGGTTCCTTTTCTGAGAACAAAGAACAATGAATAATAACCATCAATCCCAGAAACAGCTGCCAACTTCCTAGACCCTCTTCTTACGGTCATTCATTCAGCAAGAGCTATAAATAATCATTCAGTTAATCCAATGACAAGAACAGGATTTTCTGAAATGATCTTTAACATACAACTGTTAAATTAATTCTTTGTTTCTCAATCTTTAATAATAGATATCAATTCAAAGAAAAAATGAAAACAAAAATATTTAAAAACAAACATTTAATTTTGGGCATGAAAAAGGCTACAGGTGTATTTCAATAGCTGTTACAATTAAGATACCAGACCTCTTGATTGTTCATAAAACCTACAGTACCAAGGAGTAAACGTATCTTAAGAGGCTCTTTTTTCCTTCATGGCTTGTCTTACGAGCTCCATGTCTTTCTGTAACAAATGCTTCAAAATCTGTTTACTTTGTTTTTTGGGATTTCCACAAAAAACACTCTTTATGGCATCCAGGACATCCATTGATCTTTCAACCATATCCTGAGCCATCTTTTTATGTGGTGAATTTTCTGCATATTCTGTTAATTCGGGGCTAAAGCCATATAATAAATTAATAAATGCTTTTAATTTCCCCATTTCTTTTTCCGTGTCTTCTGCTTTCTTTTCCACAGACTCAGATGCAGGCAAAACGATCTCCACTTCCGATACTGATGTAGCTGTTGATGGGGAAGGAGATGTCATGACGGCTGGAGGTGTTGATGGGGAAGGAGTGATCTCTATATCCAGCTTTATTTCTGTCTCAGATGCTTCGGATGAGAGGGAGGAAGGCAGCTCTATGTCCAGCTTCATTTCTGTTACAGGTGGAGCTGTTGATGGGGGATTAAGAAGCTCAATGTCAAGTTTCATCTCCTGCTCCTTCTTCTGCAACAGCTTCCTCTCTGCCTCCCCTGCTAATTCCAGAGCATTTTTTAAGTAACCCTCAGCTTCCTCAACATACTCATGAAGAGCTGGGTCTTCTTTAACAGAGGATGGTGCATTCTTAATGGTTTTAATTAGTGTATCAATTGCTTCTAAGATGTCTAAGCCTCTAGACTCATGATGAGTCAACTTCACTGGATGGCTTTTGTGCTGTGGTTCATTATTGTCTAGCGTCCTATGTAACTTTTGTACATTTCTTAGAGATTCCACTAGACTAGCCAAGGCTCCATTTGTTAACTGATCAAAATTCTTACCTTCTTTCTTAGTGGTTGATTCTTTTTCCAACTGAATGGAAATAGTGCTCAGTGTGTCTCCTGGAGTTGACTCTTCAGAAATCAGAATAACAGACTCACTTGTCTCACGTGGGAGGTTTTCTGAGGGACTTGGGTGCAGGATAACAGATGCAGATGAGTCATTTCTGAGTTTCCAAAAGGCTGTTGTAGTTGGAGTATCCGTTCTCATCAAGGCAATTGACTGGGACTTCTCACTTTGGGGGTGCACATTTACCCAAACAGTGTCCACTGCTACAGATGGAGAAGTTGCCATTTCGGGTGCCAAAAAAGTTGGAGGGGGTTCAGTTGACAATACAACTTCTGTGGGGATATTTTTTACCACATCTTGCAAAAGATTCACAAGATCATTCAAAGTTTGCTCTTCCTTTTTTGCTGCAGTTTCACCTGCGTTGGAAAGTTCTGTGAAGCAGAAAATAAAGCCATTAAATGTATACCTTGTTTACTTTTTTGTCTTCTAAAAAAGAAACAGCTTTTATAAACATGTCTGCACTGCTACATACCACAATTTGAAAGAACTCAGTGTTTCATTAATAACCGTTCCTAGTTTAAATCCAGATGAAATTATTTGAATTCTGTTATGTTTTATGGCTTAGTGATATATTCTGCTACCAGAAGGGCCCCGTGCTCTCAGAAAATAAAAATAAAAATTGCCCATGCAATCCAGTCCAGCCCTGTTGAAGCTAAACAATCAATTTCAAAGCCTCTCCTCATAAGACAGCATGCAGACTTCTGGAGAAAGGACATCATCAGGTGTCACCAATCACAGGGAAAAAAGGAGACTAGACTTGCTCAAGAAAAAAAGACGTCTGTTGGTGATAGGAGGCTCACTATTCAGGGGAACTAAATTGCAGTTTTGTAGACCAGACAATCTACCTAGAGAAGTATGCTGTCTCCCAGGAGCAAAGATCAAAGATGTAATTGAGAGGTGTATTAAAATAATTGTCCCTTTGTCCTCTTTCACATGAGAATGAATGATATAACAAAGAGCCTGAAAACAATAGCAACAGACTATGAGCGACTAAGCATGAAAGCCAAAGAGATGGGTACACAGGTGGTGTTTTCATCTGTGCTCCCAACAAAAGTAAACATCCAATGACAGAACAGATAATTTTTGAAGTAAGCCACTGCCTTAGAGGATGGTGCCATCAAGAGATCTTTGGATTCCTAGACCACAGTCTACAATAACTACATGAAGGGCTTCAGGCAGGGGGATGGCCTATACCTCAAAAGAACGGAGGAGAATATTTTTGGAAAACAACTGGCTCAGCTTATCTGAAGTGCTTTAAATTATAACTGATGGGGAAGGAGACCAATTTTTAGGACTCGAATCCAAGCATAAATCTTAAGGCAATCAATTAAGTGGTAAGAAAGAAGAGGTTATCAAATATAAAACAGGACACGAAGGAAGCAAATGCAGAGTCAATCAAAAAGGCCTCAGATGCTTGTATACTAACAGTCATAGGAAGTTATCGTACGGCACCGTTTTCTACTGCACTGGTGAGACCAATACTCCAGTTCTGGTCATCACGATACAAAAAAGATGTTGAGACCCTAGAAAGAGTGCAGAGAAGAGCAACAAAGATGAATATGAGCCTAGAGGCTGAAGCATATGACGAATGGTTGTGGGAATTTGGTATGTCTAATGTCTAACAAAGAGAAGTACTAGGGGTATCATGATAGCAGTCTTCTAATACTTGAGAGGCTATCACAATTCCACACAGGTGGTTGAACTATTCTCCAAAGGACTGAGGGCTGGACAAGAAGCAATAGATAGAAATTAATCAAGGAGGGAACCAACCTAGAAATAAGACATTTTCTGACAGTGAGAGTAGTTACTCGCTTGCCTTCAGAAGTTATGGGTGGTCCATCATTGGAATTTTTCAAGAAGAGATTGGATAGCAATTTGTCCAGAATTGTATAGAATCTCCTGCTTGAGCAGGGAGTTGGACTAGAAGATCTCCAAGGTGTCTTCCAACTCTATTTTGTTGTTTCCCTTCTTTTTAGACTGACCTGCAAAATAACCTGAGGCAGAGATGCTGGATGTCAGCAGCAGAAAAGGATGATGGGCAGAGGCACGCTGCTAGGGAATTTCCTGTCTTTTATTTCTTGAAAGACGGGAAAGACAGCAATGAACCAGGGAAAGGAAAGCGGGCAGCGGATGGTGCTTATACCAAATGTGGTGGCTCCAAAGATTCTATGATTTTAACTTGAGAGGCCTGGCATATTCTCTTTCCCAAAAGATTCACTTCCTGATGTGGCAACTCCACAGTGCAACAAAAGCCCACCTCTTGTCTTATTATTCTTTGGCTTGAGATCCTGCCAGGATTCCTTAAATAGTCCTCAGCAGTTTGACTCCATCTTGCCCTCATTTGTTTCCTGATGAATCCCCAAAGCCTGTTAATACAGTGCTTTTTCTGATGGCTGAGTGTATAGCGTGAACCAAGCTAGCCCCATGTTTAACAGTTCCATGGACTTTTAGTATAAAAAGCCAGAGGTGCAAAACATGGCACAGGCTGCCAGTGGAGGTAGTGCCAGGAGTTCACAAGAAAAGCATTTCATAGGCTGATAAGCCAGTTTCTCATACAGCTTGTTTTGCATCCATGATTAATGAATGATCAGTGTAAAAAGCATTACACAACTGCTGCTTAAGCACAGGCGTGCCATGGCAGAACACAGCTGACACACCTGGGGTCCATCACAGGGAGCAGTGTCCATTTTCTCCTGTAAGTGTTTATTTTATTAAAGAGTGTGATGATCACGCTGGCTTTCTATTTCTTTGAAATCTATCACAGACTATTACCCTGACAGGTATCTACATTTGCATTTAAATTTGAGGAAGCCATAGCAGGGTGCATTCCTTATGTCCAGAGATCTCTTTTTCCTGACCCTCACCCCCACAAACGCATATAATAAACTTGTGCAAAGACTGAAAGGAAGAACCAAAAAAGCTCGTGCAATGACAACAGGCCAGTTGAGACAACAACAGAAAGCTGTTCTGGGAAGACTTTAAAATGATTGTGCATCAAATCACTTTGAACATGTAATGGGAGAGGGGGAAAAATAATTCTTACGCTGAACTTCAACAGTATCTTTTCCTTCTGATACAATCCCTTCAACTGCAGTTGGCTGCACAGATATCTGTTGAAGAGGGAGAAAAATGAATCATTTCACTCTGGCAATCAGCTTTTTATCTTTTGTTGCATGCTTAATTTGTTTTTTTTTAAAACTTCCAGGAGAATATATTGAATGCTGAAGCTAAGGCTTCAAAAGCCTTTACCTCAATAACAATTCTGAACACTTACCTCACAAACTGAATCTTTACCAACTTCAAGTTGTCAAGACAATCAGACTGATAAGATTCTCAAACGTGTTTTTTTTCTTCATAGGCCCATCCATAATTGGGCAGGAAGGAACGTCTCTTTCAGCAGAGTGGCCAACCCACTTGGAAGGATTCTACACCCTTATCAGTAAAATTATTTTAAGCATGCACCACCAATAAACTTTATCAATTAATCATATCAAGGTTGTACTCTACCAACAAATTAGGCATATTAAACCCCAGAATGGAAATTAAATATGAGCTTTAAAGAATCAGATAAATATAAGTTTGATATTCTAATATTTTCTTCCCACGCAACAATGGATCTCCTGCAGCCCACTTTTGAAAGCAGCTTGATCCAAGAGGCAGTCACGAGGCTGTGAGGCATCCATTCTGCATCCAAGCAAGCTCTCGCTTAGCCTCCAGACCATCCGAGGCAGCGCCTGATGTTCAATATTTTCAGAAGGATTACAGGTAGTTCTTGACTTATGAGCCACGGAGTGCAGTAGCAGTCTTCTTCTGCTAACTGCAATTTGGCAGTTCAAATCTCACCAGGCTCAAGGTTGACTCACCTTTCCCTCCTTCCGAGGTTGGTAAAAACCCAAATTGTTGGAGGCAAGAGGCTGACCCTGTAGATCCCTTAGAGAGTGCTGTAAAAGCACTGTGAAGCAATATATATGTCTAAGTGCTATTGCTATTGCTACAACTATTTGTTTAATGATCATTCAAATTTGCAACAGCACTGAGAAAAATCTGACTTATGACTAGTTCTCACATTTATGACCATTGCAGCATCCCCACAGTCACATGATTAAATTCCGGGTGCTTGGCAATACATGACATGTATTTGCAATGGTTGCAGGGTCCTGGGTTTGTTGTTTGCAACCTTCCCAGGGAGGTTCCCCATCACATAATCTTGACTTACACACACACTCTCCCCATAATGTTATTCAAGTATACTCGTTTGAGCCGTAACACTGCTTCTTTAGTTTGGTCTATTGCGTCTACCCAGGCACTGAGATTTCTAAGCTGCAAATCAAGGCTTACTATCAACAAGCTATGTCTTAGTGCCGCGATGGCGAACCTATGGCACGAAGAGCCCTCTCTGTGGGCACGTGCACTGTCTCCAGCTGTCCTGGTTTCCGGCATGCACATGCGTGCTGGCCAGCTGGTCTTCACAGGGGCTGGAAAACGTCCTGAAAAACAGCCAAAAACCAGGCTGTCTTCCAGTCATTTTTGGGGTTGCTTTCAGGCTGTTTTGGGGGGCTTTTTTGACCCCAAAGTGGCACAAAAAGCGGGCTGAAAACAGCCAAAAAATAGGCATGTGTTTGCCGGCCAGCTGGTCTTCAAGTTTCCGGTGCTCCAGCACACGGACATGCACGCAGGTTCCAGTTTGGGCACTTGGTGTCAAAAAGGTTTGCCATCACTGTCCTAGTGCCATGGGTTAATGCAGCCTGGGTGGGGAAAGGATGCTTGGTTGGGTGTGAAAAAAAGAATATTCATATTTTTGTGTGGATCAGAAGTGATTTAATACATTTACGGTATCAGAAATGCAACCTATTTCCTGTAACTTAAAACTAACATTACCTCCACTACTTTAACATTTTCGTAACGGTGTGTCACACCTAAAAACAAAACAAAACAGAAAAAGTAAAAGACAAACAACAAAATCAGAGTTAGTCACTATTAGTGTAACAATAGATTTTCAGCTCATTTTAGATGACAGACATTTTCTTCATTTTTTTATTTTAAAAAAATCATGAATGATGTTTTGTATCTATTGCCACCATCCCTTTGAAATAACTTGAGCAAATCTATATGTAAGGTTAGGGAAGTCATCTAATATAATTCCACTGAGTTACAATCTTGGCCAAGCAATGGTAGCCATATGAGGAGAATGGCTTAAAGTGCTCTTTCAAAACAGACTCATCCAATACAAAACTGATCTCAAAAAGCTAAGCAGGGTTGAAACTGGTGAAAAGCAAACCACTTCACTACTAATGCAAGAAAGTGAACTGGAGGGATACGGTTCCTCCCCAGCAGTCAAGTTCCGTTCCAGCTGGTTAGTCCCAAGAAAAAACAACATGGAACGAATATCTCTTCTTCCTTTCCCGATTTGGAAGAGAAGGGAAAACATTGAATGAAGATTTTGATGAAGATTAAAGAAGTCAACCAAAACATTAAAAGTAGGGTGGGTTTTCCCATATCTTCATCTAATATGAAAACCACCTCGAACAACTGTGCTTTGCAGTATTAGGTGAGGCTATAAGAGGAAGAGTTATTATAAAAAGAGGCACAGAAAATGCAGTGTGATTTAACAATTATTCTGGAAGTGGATGAAAAAGGCTAAACAAAGAGCCCCTGTGAATAAAAAGAATTAAGAATTAAGTGATGTTTGGGATAAAATTGAAGTGAAATGAGTATTTTCAAGGTTTGATTGGGAATGAGTGAGAGTGTGAAATTAAAAAGAAAATGTTAGTGATTACAGCCCTGTTTCATACAGCTTTGGGAATGTCTGCTGGTAGGAAATGCTGAGGTTGAAGCACTGTGTGTGTGTGTGTGTGTGTGTGTGTATGTAAATGTGATGGCTTGCAAATTTATTTATGAATTATAGCACAAACCATTCAAGCACATGCTTCGCTTTAATATCATTAATTTTTCAATGTGCATTCAAAAGAAAATTCCATCCAAAGGATGAGGAGGGAAAGGAAGAAAAGGTAAAAGCAGATGAAGTAAGGGAGGGGAATTAAGAATAGGACAGAGGGGAAGAAGGAGGAGAAGAGAGGAATAGTGTGAGAAAGAGAGGGGAAGAAGAAATGAGGAAGGAGAGAAGGAAAGAAGAAGGCAGAGAAGGGAGGTTGAGAAGAGAGGAGCAAGGTTGTTACAAAATAAGATGAAGCCATGGGGTGGCAGAAAGTGACCTAAACTCTATTCTATATGTTTGCGAGAAAATAACAATAAAGATTAATGATGAATAGATAACTGTTAAAAGTAATTATAAAAGTGTATATTTGTGAATGAATTTGAAAGAGAAAAATAAAAAAACCCTTTCTTTAAAAAAAAGAGAAAAAAATTCCATCCAGTAGGTTTTATTTTTCAGAAAGCAGGGAGACTAATGTAGTTTGACTGTCATTTGTTAATTAGATCTTACAGGATCCTAGAAGAATCTATCATCTCTCTCAAAGAGGAGAGAGAGGCAGGACACATGAAGAGGAGGCCTCTCAGCTGCTCGCCTCCTTCCTGTTTCCCCTCATGCTGGTTGTCAGGAAAGGCATCAAGACCTGATTTTTCCAAGGAACCTTCGAATGGGGAGATAACAAGGGACCCTTCCTACTACAGACTGGATGTTGTAGCTCTTCCTTGGGGCCATGTTGCTTTGTTTTGCTCAGTTTGTATTAAGGTTGTGATTTCTTTTCTTTTGTAGACTGCTTTGAGCCTTGTTTTATTGCGTAGTATATAAACTGTGGTAAATATATCAAACACCAAAGGCAGCGGACTTCCTGGGAGGAGCTTGCTGGTGGTGGCAGCAAAAAATCAGCTGCCTCCGAATTCCTGGCTACGTACCTGTTTAGAGGATCTTCCATCTGACGTCTTATCAGGTTTTCTTATCCTTCAGGCAAGAAGGAAAGAAGAAACTGTTTTGCTGGCAAATGCTCTTCGATTTTTGCNTGAACTGGCTGAATCCTACCCCTGATTATGGACAAGATGCAAAGAAGTAGCTTTTGGCTGGACATCAGAAAAAAATATCAGTAATAGCCATTCAACAATGGTGATTGTAAATTCTTCACTTAAAATGCCCATCTATACTGTAGGACACCCTTTAGCCATAGGTTCTTGCACTGGGCAGAAAGGAGAGTTTGAAGATCTCCAAAGACCCTTTCAACTCCTCCTTTCTATGATCCTAAATATCTACTAGTACTTCCTCTCCAACCTTGCTTTCAGTTCTTGATTGCTTGAATAGTAGGTAACGATGCAGAAATTGCCTTGGGAAGTATCCTGAAATAGATTTCCCAAGGCTCCTTACTATTAAAATATATTTACCACATCTATAATCTGTTCATCAGCAGATGTTCTGTGGATGGTTTGTGAGACTGTAACAGGATTATCATCACTGCATGCAATTCATTTACATGATGCTTTTTCAGGGTTCTAAAAATAAATAAAGACAGATTCCTGTCCTGAAGACACTTACAATCTTAAAACACAGAGAGGAAGACAAAATGACATAGAATGGATGTGAAGCATTACCATTAGTTTTGCTCCCTAATAATTGGGGAGGCTATCTCAAGATGCAAACCTTGCAGAAAATATTGGCCTGGAAAATGGGTTTGAAGCATGAGGAATGTACAGATGATGAACAGGAAGAAATTGTTCAGAGCATAATTCTGGAGTAGACAGCATTCCTAAATAATTTCTGCCTGAAACCCTGAAAAGCCATTTCTAATTGGATCACACCGTTCTGAGCAAATGTCAATCCTTTGAGATACACCAGGTCAAAAACCAGGAAAAACTAGGATCTGAGAATGCTCCCTATTGCTAGGGTATTGTAATAGACTAATAGGTGCTTGAAAGCCTGTGAGCTCATCTACTCCAAGGATAAAACATTTGGACATAAACTGAGCAATGTGATATATGCAGATCTGTACGTTGGGGAAACAAAACAATCACTTCNTCTAACGATATGTACAGGGCTCCCTCTTTGTGTGCCACTTGGGTAATTCCTTCTGCTGAATGTTCACCACCTCCAAAGAGATCATGAAAGAGTAGCCCTCAACTTACAACCATTGATTTGCACAGGCTGACTTTGGAGCTCAAAGACAAGGCTGAGACGGAATACTATGAAATCTGGGACAAATGGTACCGAGGGAAAAGGGTCAGGTCAGAAAAACATAGATAAGTTAAGAATTGGAAAGTATGGTATTAATATTGTACGATAGTTAGGAATTGGATATGCTAATAGTAGCTATATAATGAAAGGGATTAGTGGGTAGGTAATTTTACTGACTACACATGCCTATGTAATGACTATAAATTGTTATTGCTCAACGATTAAAAAAAAACTCTATGGGAAATGATTATGCCAGAAATGTTGCACTATGTCCAACATTTTTAATGTTTACCTAATAAAAACTAAAAAACAAACAAACCTTACAACCATTTATTTAGTGACCATTCAAAGTTACAATGACACTGAAAAAAGAGACTGATGACAAAAGTGACATTTTTCACACTTGCAACTGCTGCAGCATCCCCATGGTCACATGATCAAAATTTGGACTGGCATGTATTTATGACAGTTGCAGTTCCCTGTGGTCATGAACAAAACAGAATAACAGAGTTGAAAGGGACCTTGGAGGTCTTCTAGTCCAACCCCCTGCGTAGGCAGGAAACCCTACACGACTCCAGATAAATGGTTATCCAACATTTTCTTAAAGACTTCCAGTGTTGGAGCATTCACAACCTCTGGAACTGTCAGGAAATTTCTACTCAGTTCTAAGTTGCTTCTCTCTTTGATTAAGCAACTTAGAACTGAGTAGAAATTTCCACCCATTGTTTCTTGTTTTACCTTCAGGTGCTTTGGAGAATAGCTTGATTCCCTCTTCTTTGTGGCAGCCCCTGAAATATTGGAACACTGCTATCCTGTCTCCCCTGGTCCTTCTTTACATTAAACTAGACATACCCAGTTCCTTTAACTGTTCTTTGTATGTTTTGGCCTCCAGTCCCCTAATTATCTTTGTGGCTCTTCTCTGCACTCTTTCTAGAGTCTCAACTTCTTTTTTACATCGTGGCAAACAAATCTGAATGCAGCATTCCAAGTATGGCCTCGTCAAGGCCTTATAAAGTGGTATTAAAACTTCACGTGATCTTGATTCTATCCCTCACGTGATCACCTTTTACAAGCTTCCGACAAGCCAAGTCAATGGGGAAGACAGAGTGATAACTTAACAACTGCAATGATTCATCAAAAACTGGAGCCCTGGTGGCACAATGGTTAGAATGCAGTTTTGCAGGCTAATTCTGCCCACAGCCTGGAGTTCAATCCTAACTGGCTCAAGGTTGACTCAGACCTCCATCCTTCTGAACTTGGTAAAATGAGGACCCAGATTGTTGGGGGCAATAGTGTGGGATGTAAGTCTAAATGCTATTTCTATGTGTGGCAAGAAAGGTTGTAAAACTGGGCAAAACTCGCTTAACAACCGTCTTGCTTGTACACTGAGGACTACCTGTATACTGCAATATCTCATCATTAGCCATATGACTTTGTACACTTGTGTCTGATGTTGTGAGACAAGCTGGAGAAACCAGATCTGGTGGCATAACAAATGTTTCATTTTTTTTTTCATAATTGCCATTCATGCCAAAGTATTATGGGAAGGGGTGGGATTGAAAAAAATTAGCAACCAGTTCTCTGCCTGGTTGCTGGGTGGGCATGGCTATGATAGGCATGACCTATTCAGCCTCCTGCACCATGGCATGGTGGTGGCATTTTTGCCCTCCCCAGGCTCCAAAGCTTTCCTTGAGCCTCTGCGGTAATGAAAACAGCCTCCCCTGGGCTCTGGAGGCCCTCCAGAAGCCAGAAATGGTCCCATTTCCGGACTTTCAGAATTTCCAGGAGGCCTGTTTTTTGCTCTCCCAGAGCCTCCACATAGGCCCTGCAGTTACCTGGCATCCAAAACAAGTGGGACAACTCCTGGGAGGGGCAGAGTGGGCTGGATGCAGCCAGCCAGTCCTTGGAACTACCGGTTTTGTGAACCAGATGTACAATTAACATCCTGTTCATCTGAACTGGTCTGAACTGGCTGAATCCTACCCCTGATTATGGACAAGATGCAAAGAAGTAGCTTTTGGCTGGACATCAGAAAAAAATATTATCAGTAATAGCCATTCAACAATGGTGATTGTAAATTCTTCACTTAAATGGACATCTATACTGTAGGACACCCTTTAGCCATAGGTTCTTGCACTGGGCAGGAAGGAGAGTTTGAAGATCTCTAAGGGCCCTTTCAACTCCTCCTTTCTATGATCCTAAATATCTACTAGTACTTCCTCTCCAACCTTGCTTTCAGTGCTTGATT